TTTTTTTTTTTTTTTTTTTTTTTAGCATATGTCTTGATAATTTTCTGATATGACCTGCTCTAAGTGCTCCATTCATCACATGCGATCTTTATACTTATATGCTTTGATCCTTGAAGGATCATAGTGTAATATTTGATCAGCCACACTGGGTTTCTCTCCCCTAGTCACTTCCCTGTCTCCAGCACTCTGTCCTCTGTATTCTCCCTACCAGTCAAGAACCCTATTGAGGCAAGTGTCTTACTGGCTGAAGCCTCACTGGCACGGAAGCAGCGGAAAACACATACCACCTTTATTCCACTTATGCTGAATGAGATGCCACAGGTTGGGGACCTGGTCGGCCTGGATGCTGAGTTTGTCACCCTTAATGAGGTAACCAAGACCAAAAGGATGAGGCATTAGAACATAACTCTGAGGATGTTAGAAGTTGTTAGCATTTCTCTGATTTCCTTATTAACTCTTCTCATATAGGAGGAAGCCGAGTTACGCAGTGATGGTACCAAGTCTACCATTAAACCAAGCCAGATGTCAGTAGCAAGGATTACCTGTGTTCGGGGCCAGGGACCCAATGAGGGTATCCCTTTCATTGATGACTACATCTCTACCCAGGAACAGGTACAAGGATATGGAGGTACAAGTGAGATAGACGCCACACTTATGTAGAGTGCTTAGGAACCCAGAGAAGAGTGGTAAGGGAAGATTCTGCACCTCATTTTCTTAATGACTTGTCCTTTTCTCTGTCCCTAGGTGGTGGATTACCTGACTCAGTATTCAGGGATAAAGCCAGGAGACCTCGATGCCAAAATTTCATCCAAGCACCTAACAACTCTCAAGTCTACCTATTTAAAGCTTCGATTTCTCATTGACATTGGAGTCAAGTTTGTGGGTCATGGCCTACAGAAGGATTTCCGGGTCATCAACCTCATGGTTCGGGCAGAACTCTTTTTTAAGAGTTTTCTTTTGAGGATGAGCCTTCAGGGTATACATTGTGATTTGAAGAATAAGAATTTAGGGATCTTCTACCTTAAAACACCCCCATTCTTTTATTTCTGCCAGGTCCCCAAAGACCAAGTCCTTGACACTGTCTACCTGTTCCACATGCCCCGAAAACGAATGATTTCCCTACGATTCCTCGCTTGGTACTTTCTGGGTGAGTTCCTCTGCCTTGCAGGACTTTCCTCTTAAAAGCAGGAAACTTGGGGCCAGCAGGTGGTATAGTGGTTAAGGTGCTAAACTCCCACTTGGCTGACCACAGACTGAATCCGGGCTCCTGCAGCTTAAAACTCAGGCCAGGCGCGTGTCCATATGTGCCCAAGATTCCGGGAGGAGAGGGATTGTGGCATGGCCATCCCACCGGGGAATGATTTCTCTTTCTTTCTGTCTCTCCGGTGAGTGCACGCACCCTATAGCAAATATCTCTTAAAAACAAAAAAGGACCAGCAGATGGCGTAATGGTTACGTCACTGGACTCCCACATAGTCAACTGTGGTTCAAGGCCTAGACTGGCTGGCATAAGACTCATGCTGGGTACATGTGTATGTGTGCCCAAAGTGCTGAGAGGAGAATGGAGAAAGGATTGCACTGTGGCCATTCCTGGGGGTGATTTCTTGCTTTCTGTCTCTCTGTCTCTCTGGCAAGCATATGCGCCCTATAGCAAAAAAAAAAGGAAAAGTGGAGCCAGATGGTGGCATGATGGTTAAGGTCCTGAATTCCCACATGGCTGACTGTGGCTTAAGTCTTGGACCTGGTGGCTTGAAAATCATGCTAGGTGGGACCAACAGATGATTAGTGGTTATGTCACTGGACTCCCACATAGCCAACTGCAGTTTGAGTCCTGGACCAAGTGGCTTAAATCTCACACTAGGCATGTGTTTGTGCATGCCCAGAATCCCAAGAGGAGAATGAAGAAGAGATTGCAGTGTGGCTATCCCCCTGGGGGGTTTATTTCTCACTTTTTGTTTCTCTGTGTGGTGAGTACACATGCCCTATACCAAAAATCTCTTTTTTTGGGGGAGAAGTTTTTGCTATAGGGCGTGTGCGCTCACCAGACAGAGAAAGACAGAGAGACAGAAAGCAAGAAATCACCCCCCAAGGGGGATGGTCACGCCGCAATCCCTTCTCCTCCATTCTCCTCTCGGGATCTTGGGCACGCATGCACA